ATGAACCCAGACTCCTGGATGTAATAAGACTACCTCAGCACTTACTCAGGTGCTGTGTGCCTAGATATACACCTAACACAAAACAAACAGAAATATAGGACAGAAAACTTTGAAAAGAATCTAGTGTATTAAGTGCTGCCCATAGTGAGTGAAAGGAAACAAGCCCAACACGTGTATAATTACACCTCTTAGCATGTGTCGAGGTAATCTCGGGATGTTCAGTATTCTTTGGTTTCTGTGTACGATTAGTTTTTTTCCTCTCTCTAAAGATACAATGTATTAAGTTCTGAAGGCTATATAACTCTCGAACCTTTTGAAACAGTGAACTACTTTTGGAAATCGTTTTAGCACATGTAAACATTTATTGCTTAGTGTAGGTTTTGAGGATATATGTTTTTGTCTTAATAAAGATTTCAGCATTTTTAAGCTTCTTTCCTTCCTACTATACAGACTTGTTTTCTGGGGTAGGTTTTTCTAGTTTGAGATTTATGTGGGAAAGAAAGAGAGAAAAAAAAAACAAGCAAAAAGTGCAGAAGGTGGTGCTAGAAGGGGAGAGTAAAAACAAAATAATTACTTGAATTAAGAATGCATGAATTCCCATCTATTTAGTTTAGAAAAACATCGCCTGAGAGGGGATATGATAACATTATACAAATATATTCGGGGCCAATACAAACCATTGTGTGGAAATCTATTTACAAACCGGACTTTACATAGGACACGAGGCCATGCGTTTAGACTGGAAGAAAGAAGATTTCGTCTAAGGCAAAGGAAAGTTTTTTTACTGTAAGAACAATCAGGATGTGGAATTCTCTGCCTGAGGAAGTGGTTTTATCAGAGTCCATACAGATGTTCAAACGGCTACTAGATGCATACTTGCAAGAACACAATATTCAAGGATATAATCTTTCAATGTAGGGTAATAACTGCTTGATCCAAGGATAAATCTGACTGCCATTCTGGGGTCAAGAAGGAATTTTTTTCCTAGCTTGTTGCAAAACTGTGCTTCAAACTGGGTTTTTTTGCCTTCTTTTGGATCAACAGCAAAAAACAAATGTGAGGTAGGCTGAACTTGATGGACGCAAGTCTTTTTTCAGCTATGTAACTATGTAACTATGTAACTATCTAAGAGATACAGGATATGCATGAAGGCCTATATCCAGTAAGGATGTGCATAAGCAAAAAATTTGGTTCAGAAATTAGGGTAAGTAAAAAAATTGTCAGCTTCGGTAATTCATGCTGGATGTGCAGGAGTACGATCCTTTAATGCTGTAGGTTTTATTGTTGTGTGTGGCTGTGTTTGCAGCAAGGGTTTTTTGCATTGACTGGTCGCGTTTTCTTTATTCTTCCCATAAGTGGGTAGCTTCCTGTTGATTAAATTTTTTTTGTCAGTTTGGTGGTTGTCTGAAGGCCAAAATGGGTGTTTCAGAGAAAATGTTTTTCAGAGTCTCATCTTCTGTTAACATTGGTTGTAGGTCTTCCTCAAGATGCTGGATATAGGCCTGCATGCATATCCTGTAACTGTTAGATAGGAATTCATGCATTCTTAATATAAGTAATTATTTTGTTTTTACTCTCCTCTTCTAGCACCATCTTCTGCACTGTTCCTTGTTTTTTTTTCTCTCTCTCCCACCATACTCTGTGATCTTCACACCAAATATTTACAACCCTCTGGGAGAATGGTGCCTATTTTCTATCAAACCAGTGCCTTATCTGCACTCATGTCGTTTTAACCCCTGTATCACAACTCAGCTTTGAATTCTATGTGTCGTCTTGCTCAGAAATGCTTCAGACTTGAGAAAAGGAGATTCACCCGAAAGCTTATCATTAAAAAAAAGAAAGATACAAATACATATACAATCTCTACTTAAACAAGTATGCTAAAAGAAAGAGTCCAATAATGCAAAATGTGCTGCGCTTGATAAATATATGATTTACTTAAGTAGGTGAAGGAATGTGTTTAAATTAATTGCCCTGAACAATAAAGAACCACTCCACGCCCATAAAGCATATCTGCTTGAGAAATTGGTGCTTTTATAAATAATTAGAGTTAAGCGAACTCGAACTGAAAAGTTCGGGTTCGTACCGAACATTAGGATTTTGGACCCCGGACCCGAACACGGACAAATCACTATATGTTCGGGTAAGAGTTCAGTGTTCGGCGATTTAATGGCGCGTTTTCAAAGGCTGCAGGGCAGCCAGTCAACAAGCGTTTCACTTGTGTGCCCTTATCAGCCATCACAGCTATTCCTACTAATGGCGTGGCTGTGATTGGCCAGTGCAGCATGGCCTCTCTACGCTGGAGTCACGTAGTGCCACACGCACATGCAGTCTCATTAGTGTAGGGAGAGGATGCTGCCGCAGATAGGGACAGTTTAGGAAAGAATTCTGCAAACTAGCTCATTAGTGGGGTGGGGTGCACTTCATATCTGAGAGTCAAATAGAAGCTTCAAATACCGCCGTTACATCAGAGTTTTTAAAAGTAATTTTTTTTTGGGTGCTAACTAGTACATTAGTGGGGTAGTACATTAGTGGGGTGCACTTCATATCTAAGAATCAAATAGAATCGTCAAATAATGCTGTCACATTGCAGTTTTGAAACTTAAATTTTTTTGGGTGCTAAAAAGTACGTTAGTGGGGTGCACTTCATATCTGAGAGTCAAATAGAAGCGTCAAATACTGCTGTTACATTGCAGTTATAAAACGTAAAAAAAAATTGGGTCCTAAACTGCTAAATAGTATTTCAGTGGGGTGCACTTCATATCTGAGAGTCAAATCGAAGCATCTAATAGTGTGCTTACAGCGCAGTGGTAAACATTCTTATTTTCTGGGTGCTAATCTGCAAATAGTATATTTTGGGGCCTGTTCTTCATATCTGAAAGTCAAATCAAAGCGTCTAATAGTGTGCTTACTGCGCACTTGTAAACATTCTAATTGTTTTGCTGCTAATCTGCTGCTTACATTGGAGTTTTAAAAAGTTTTTTTTGCGCTAAATAGTATATTTGTGGTGTTCACTTCATATCTGAGAGTCAAATCAAAGCGTCTAATAGTGTGCTTACTGCGCATTTGTAAACATTCTAATTGTTTTGCTGCTAATCTGCTAAATAGTAAATTTTGGGCCCTGAGGTGCACTTCATACCTGAGAGTCAAATAGAAGCGTCAAATAGTGTGCTTACTGCGCAGTGGTAAACATTCTTATTTTCTGGGTGCTAATCTGCTAAATAGTAAATTTTGGGGCCTGTTCTTCATATCCGAGAGTCAAATCGAAGCGTCTAATAATGTGCTTATTGCGCACTTGTAAACATTCTAATTGTTTTGCTGCTAATCTGCTAAATAGTAAATTTTGGGGCCTGCGGTGCACTTCATATCTGAGAGTCAAATAAAAGCGTCAAACTGTGCGCTTACTGCGCACTTGTAAACATTCTAATTGTTTTGCTGCTAATATGCTAAATAGTAAATTTTGGGGCCTGTTCTTCATATCTGAGAGTCAAATTGAAGCGTCTAATACTGTGCTTACTGCGCATTGGTAAACATTCCAAATGTAAACTGCTAAATAGTACATTTTGGGGCCTGCTCTTCATATCTACAAGTCATGCTACAACAAAATTAAACAAGTTTTAAAATATGTATGGGCCAACCAGTGGCTGTAAACAACAAAGTTTTACTGGTTACATTCATGACTACACACTCTACTGAACAGGACCTTCATGTAGTGTGTTCTTTTTTTAAATCATAGAGCATCTTTTCATGTGCTTTTCAGATGTCATATTGTGAATTACCAATTTTTGTGTAGCCTGATTTTTTTTTTAAAAAGTGAAAAATAAGTGTTATTGTGATCACTTCATATACAGAAGCATTAATATACATTTCTATATTGTGTAAAGACACAACTACAAAGTTAAAAAACAAACACCAAAACAACTTGCCAGACAATGTACCTGTGCATGGCTAGTGTGATACAATAAGTCTACATCTTAAAAATGCAATAACCTACAGAAGATGGGCGAGAATTTTTTTTGCAAATGGAACTTTCAAATTTGCTACATCAGTCACTTGTAATATTGTTTCACACCTACAACACTTGTTACACAGATCTAAGTGATGGAAAACAGATTGATATTTTCTACACTAGAAACTACTGCTATATTTAAACCAGTGATCAAGAGCTAAGAGGTACTTCAACAATATTGTAATTCTGGGGCAATACCCTCACAAGTTAAACTGAGAGGTCAGTTTATAGGGAAAACTGTTGCCTGGAGGAAATTCTAAAACAATTTCCATATGTCCTTTGCAGACTTTACATGCTGGAAAAACACAGGTGCCAACTGCTGTGGCTTTCTGCAGTGTGCATACCGGCAAGGAGGCCAGGGTTGAGGAGTAGATGGAAGATGATGTGGAGGATGATGAGGTCCTAGACCCCATATGGAATCAAGGTCATGCGAGTGACGTGTGCAGTTTGGAGGAAGAGGCGCTGTGGCACAGAGACACAAGCACAGCATAAGAGGGAGCAGGGTGCAAAAGCGTAATGGCCGTCCCCTAGCGCTCGTCGGCATGTATTATCTTGAGAATTACCAGTTATCCAAGTAATACATGTAGCGATCAAAGGATCCATAATAGACTTGAGTGAACCCGAACGGCAAAGTTCGGGTTCGTACTAGATTTAACGATTTATCATTCGTAGTTTCACAGTGAGGTAGGCAGTCCGGTGACCAGGACCCAGACACTGTCAGGATGTGACATTTACTGTAGCAGCTGTGCGCGCTTTTGGCGCTGTCACCCTGCTGCTGCTAGCCTGTCTGCACTACAGCGTAACTTCAACCTTCCCGCTCACTGCCTCATGAGACTTTGCGAGCAGCAGCAGTCAATAGTGGAGTTTCAGCTGTAGCACGCACAGGTCAGTGGCTCTGCACCAGATTTCCCTCCAATTGATCAGAGTTAGAGGATTTCAAGTGGACTCATTACAATTACAGATACTCTAAAGTGTCCTGTATAGTTATTTGTCGTCACTACCTTCCCGCGTCGGGAGTGGGTCATTTGCGCGCCTGCTGCCTTCCTTGCATGTGGTAGCCGTTTCTCAGGGTCCCTGTACGGAATGGAACCCTAATTCCCCGTGACCCATTGTCACCATGGTAGGAGCAGAAACTGGCATCAAAAGTTGATATGGATGACATCCAAATGTAAAGTCGCCATCACGGGGATGTGCGATTGACCCGAGCTTCTCTAGAGTCAATAAAGTGCCTGCGCAACTATAATGTCAACAGCTACTCTGCGGAACAGAGTTGACTTTTTTTATATGTCCCAATATTTTGGAGGCTACCCTAATAAAAAAAAACAAAAAACATTTATATATATATATATATGTAAATATATATATATAAACAGTGTTGGCTACCTCATCCTCCTCCTCCACCGCCAAGGTCACCGCCTCCTCAACCTATGGGTCACTTAGTATAAACTAGGTACACATTAACAGAGGCTTGTGAAGCCCTTTTCTCCATGCTTCAGGACTGCAAGAAATGCACCGCAGGCTGCAAATGTTTCTTTATTTGTATGTCCCAATATTATGTGGGCTACCACAATTAAAACAAAAAAACATAAAATACAGTGTTGACTATCTCATCCTCCTCCTCCACCGCCACGGTAAATGCCTCCTCAACCTATGGGTCATTGAGTATAACCTAGGTACACATTAGCAGAGGCTTGTGAAGGCCTTTTCTCCATGCATCAGGACTGCAAGAAATGCACCGCATGCCGCAAATGTTTCTTTATTTGTATGTCCCAATATTTTGTGGGCTACCACAATTAAAAAAAACAAAAACATAAAATACAGTGTTGGCTACCTCATCCTCCTCCTCCACCGCCACGGTCACTGCCTCCTCAACCTATGGGTCACTTAGTATAAACTAGGTACACGATAGCAGAGGCTTGTGAAGGCCTTTTCTCCATGCATCAGGAGTTGAGCCCAGTTTGAACAATGAAAGAGAATACCCTGCACTCCAACCCTTTCTCAAATGGATAATTCTGTTACTCCTCCTGACAGCCATGCTTTAGAGTTTGATTTATGTTCTTCCAAAGCTAAATTCAAAGATTCCATCTAGTGCTATTTTATGGCTCAGCTGTATTTTTAATTTTTATGTTATTTTAAGTGATTTCCCTATCCACATTTATTTGCAGGGCACTTGTCCTACTCTTACCCCCCATTTTACGTCCTTTTGCAGCTCTCTAGCCCTTTCCAGGAGTTTTTTAGAGGCATTTTTGTGGCCAAAAGTTCGGGTCCCCATTGACTTCAATGAGGTTCGGGGTCAAATTCGATCATGAACCCAGACTTTTTTTCAAAGTTCATCCGGACTCGCCGGACCCAAACATCATGGTGTCCACTCAACTCTATAAATAATCAAAGTTTCTCATGACTGTCAAACAGTCAGGGAGTTTTTTTTACTGCTCCTGTTAGCTTCCTTGAGCTGACAAAAGTGACAGACATGCTCTTCTTGAGTGTGCCTGCTTTCCTTTTGCATAACTCCTTCTCAGAATTAGCTAAAAAGTGGATTTAGTGGCAAGCTTTTTTTTCTTTTTTTTTTTTACTTACCCTAACTGTGTAGGGTTTCACTAATTGCTGACCATAGATCTGCCTGCAAAAAAGTTCTTATAAGATTATAAACAATTATTATTTGCCATAATTTAAATTTTTTTTATTGTTTGCCATATTTTAAAATTGTCACAGTGCATCTTTGTAATTTTAGGGGAGGGGGTCTTATCTTCATAAGAGACTATGAAGGGCACTTATAATCTTGCTATGGTGTTTTACCTATAAAGAGTTTTTAAATTCTTGGGCAAATTATCTAATATAGTGTAAAAGTAACTTTGAGTTGAAAAAATATTTAACCCAGAAAATTACATAATTCAAATTCAGCATTCAAACCATTTGGCTGTAGTGTGTTCAAGTTATATATCCATTTCATTTCTGCCATTCCTAGTTGTTTATTATGGTCTTCTCCTCTCCAATTTTTCTTTACTTTACATATTGCTTAAAAATTCAGGAGGCTCATGTCTGAGTCGTGATTTTCTTCAAAATAGACTGATACTGAATGTTGCATATATTTCTTTTTAATATTCATCATATGCTCCCTAATTCTAACATATAGTTGTCTTTTGGTTCTTCCCACGTACTGGAGTCCACACGGACACTCCAGTATGTAGATTACATTGGTACTTTGGCATGTTAGGAAATCCTTAATCTTAAATGTTTCCTTTAGGTGTTTCAAATTTTTCTTGGGGATCTCACATACCCCCTTTATTGACTTTCTTTTACATGTTCTACATGCAATACAGTTATGGCAATAGAAGAAACCTTTCTTTTTCATTTCCATCTCTCCTTTTTTGGTGATTGTTGGTAAATTTCCTCTTTATGTTTTGTGCTCCCCTAAAGATTATTCTGTACAATTTTGTTTTAATCTCAATTTAGTTTAGAAGATTAAAACAAAATTGTACAGACCATGAAGTATATGTAGAACAGGCAAAGACTGTGAAGGACAAATTTCTAGCTAAAAACTATGAACCTATAGAAATAGAGAATGCATTACTAAAGGCGGAGTATCTGGATCAAATTGACCTTTTAAAGGAAAAAGACAGGACAGATAAAACCAATTTAGAAAAAAAAATAAGTTTCTAGCAATTATCCTGGATTATACTAAGGAAAATGCACAACTCAAGAGAATAATTAGGAAGCATTGGCACGTATTGAAAAAGGACAGACTACTTGCCAGTAGTCTACCAGAAAAACCAAGAATAATTAGATAATTTGCCCAAGAATTTAACAACTCTTTATAGGTAAAACACCGTAGCAAGATTATAAATGCCCTCCATAGTCTCTTATAAAGATTAGACTCCTCCCCTAAAATTACAAATATGCACTTTGACAATTTTAAAATATGAATATTACCACCCACAGGTAAGACGTGTGCGGTCCATACCTTGTTGTCACGTCGTGTTCCAAGGTAGTTAACGAGTGCTCTTACACAGAGTCCCATTAACTACATCTATCACATAATCGAGTCTTTTGAACTTCTCTTTCGGAAAGTGAATGTCTTTTCTTGTTGCTGGAATGATCACGTAATCTTTCTAGATAGTAAGATCGTCTGAATGTCAGCTCATGAGGTGTCAGTTCATGATGTTCATGTAATATAGATCAACTTAAATAAATACGAAAGGATACATAATATTAAAAATATTACTCAGAAGTAGTCAGTATTCTGTAATCCACATATAAAATAAAACCTACTTAGATGATTCTAAATCCATATATAAATACATATAAAGGGCGCAAGGATATATGGTATAGTGATTTATTTTAATAGCCCTCTATAATGCAGACCAATTTAAAAAAGTAATTCCAATGCATAATATGTGGTGGATCCCATCTTGTAAAATTATTCACAATATTCTCTAAAACGTTAGTGACTTCGAGTTGGGTTACTAGGATTGTGTGTCAATACTAACAAAGGCAACGATAACAGAAGTGGATTTTAAGATCCCACTTAGTAACATCTTGTGTGAGAAATAAGGAAACATTTCCTGAATTAAAAAATGGGAAATATAACACATGAATAAGTGGTAGGGATATGTCCAAAACTTATTTAATAGGATTGGACTTAGATGAACAAAGTCTTTCAGACTAAGAGAAAGGCTAATAATGACGTGCATCGTAATTATAATTGAAAAAATAGCGTAACTGCCCTTCAAAGAGCTTGAGGGAAGAAATATTAAGGGGAAATTTTAAAATATGTCATACAATAATAATTTTTTTAAAATATGGCAAATAATAATTGTTTATAATCTTATAAGAAATTTTATAAAACATTTTTATATTGAGATAGTACCCCTTAAGGACCAAACTTCTGGAATAAAGGGAAATCATGACATGTCACACATGTCATGTGTCCTTAAGGGATTAAGGAATATGTTAATTTTAAACAAAAAAGGATCAGTGAACGTATTTTATGTATATATAACTGTATGATTCTATATACAGTTTCATTATTCTATATGTCTTTTTTCATAAGGACAAGTTCATAATTTAAAAAAGAGAGAAGTGTAAATGAATATCCCTTTAAGGAACAAATACTATTTGAAGTATAACATCGTGACATACTAGAACACCAATTTATGCATTTGAGTGTATCTAGTATTCCCAATCTCCTATATCTCTATATCTTTTTCTCTTTTCTTTCGTTGTCTGTCTAAGAATAAATTGAAGATTAATATATATATATATAACACTATGTCAACCATATTTAAAAAACCTGAGCGGGAGTAACCATAGAAAGAATGTAAAACAAATGTATGTTGGAAAATATAAGATGAGAAAAGTAAGATGTATTATCCATTCATGCAATTACAAGAGTGTTTCAGTATACGTATTTAGTCTGTAACGATAGACAATGAATACAATGTAAAATTATGATGTTTAATGAAAAAATAACAAAAGTGATTAGCCTCTATATAAGAGGAAAACGTAAGTCAGTCCACATCCATTGAAAAAGCCGCTCAAGCGGAGAAACCGGTTTGCAGAGGACCTGGCTCCCATCACGATTAACCAGCATCCAGCATATGAACTTATTCTGAATTCAGTGCAGACACTACACACGGTATACTCGGGACGCCGAGCAACTCACTTAAGGTCTGCACTTTATACAATTGTATTAGACATCTATTGCATACAATATATAGATTGTCTAGATTTGATGGAATTTTTTATACTTTTATGCGGAATGTCTCGAATAAAGCAAAGTACTGAATCTCTACTGTGATTGAAGTGGGACAGACTTTACAATATTTCTATTTTTTCTCCTCTTTTACATATATCGGGATCTATGCTACGGAGTAAGCTGCTAACAGGGAATACATGAACAAAGAATTTTAAAGACTTACTACTGGACTCATATAAGTTATATGATTTTTATTAATTATTTTTATTTTTACTTATTTTATCGCCTGTGATTTTTTAATAGATACCAAGAACTGAATTTTGTGAGAGCTACTTCATCACAAGTAGTGTATTTAGAAAATAAAGGATATTTAGTAATTGACAACCCAGGCAACTAGAGAATTTAATTTGCAAGCTATAATAAACCCTGTCACTTTTCAAACCACCATAAAACCGGTACATGGGGGTTACTGTTTTACTCTTCAGACTTCGCTGAAAACAAATATGAGTGTTTTAAAACAGTAAAATGTATAATATCATCAGTGAAAG